TATGTATATATATATATATATATATATATATACATAAATAAAGAATTAAATACATTATAACACCTCAAAGCAGCTATAATCGCTACTCTAGCTATCTATTATTCCTGTGTTTCCTGTATGCCAGGTCTACGTAAGTAACAACTATTAAGAACCCATCCATGGGGTAGAATCACATGTACCCGATAAATGGGTGTACATGTATATGATCATGTGAAAGATAATAATACATTGCTAGTAAGTTATGTGCATTTCATAAATAAACAATTTAAGTTTAGCAAGTTATTAGGAAAATCGGGTATGATGATAGCTTGAGGCATGAGCTCAGGTGACAGGATCATCAGGTGTTCAACACAGTATATTAATTATAAGATGACAGACTAGAGCCATACTGACACGGACGTGCCACAAAGGGACCTAAGGCAGCAGTAGTACAGTATACGATCCTCAAAGTTCCACCTCAATTTGAATCGGGTAACCAAGTATTGCACCTAATATATTTCCCCTCACGGTATGGCGCACTTATAAACCGCAGAGATCTGAGGCCAAATTTGCGGTTATTACGCGAGTATATACGGTAAACGAAATTATGGTGATGCTGCCTAGCGACTAGCTCTAGGACTATAGCCGGCGTACAGTTGCTGCAGGACTGGAGGCCTGCAGGCCTGCGGCAACTGTGCGCGGGCTATAGTCCTAGAGCTACCTAGGGACGTGATAATCATACCGATACTGTTGCGGGCTCTTGTCTCAATTAAGACACTAAACAAATCAGTTTCTGCTCATCACACGGCCCTGAAGACCCAGATGTGTATTTCTACTGCAGGGTGTTAGCCAGGAACAAAAATCAGAGAGTCTCACCATCTGAGCGAAGCAAGGATGCTGCGGGCGCGAAGTGCCCTAGGGGGAGGGCCTTACCTTAAAATGGAGGAAATTTAGTCTGAAATGCCAAAAAGACAGGAATCTGATATGATTTCATATTCTTATAAGCACTGTTGTCAGTTATACAAGCTGTATAATATATAAAATTGGGCTGCCCTCATGCCACCTCTATCAAATTTCATCGATCGCATCCAAAAATAGGCCGTCCAACGACGAGTAGACAGGTCTCTGCCTCTGGTTAGCACACTGTTCTACCGTAAAGTGTTATATATACATGGTTCATAATTAGTACGTAAATAAAGGTTTGCAGTAAGTAAATAATATTGCAGCAACTACACTACAATACCATGACACATAAAACATCTTATTAGCAACATTATATATAGTTGGAATCATGTGCTACACTACTATACTGCTGATAGGGTCTATGTCTCCCTGGGTACTGCCGGAACGTACCCTGCATGGGTACGGTCCGGTATACCGGAACGTACCCTAGTAACTATCTGATATGGTTAGGGTATAGAGTTAGGGAGTAGGCGTAGGCAACTCCCTAGACTCGTTAGTGGAGTAGGCGAGGTACGGTCCGGCATATTAGATATAGTACCAGGGTACGTTCCGGCAGTACCCAGGGAGACATATAAACCCTGGCAGCACTACTACTGGTAGCGCTAGCAGAACAAGGATAGTTTGGCTCATAGGGTCTATGTCCACCAGGGTACTGCCGGAACGTACCCTGGTAACTATCTGATATGGTTAGGGTTAGGGTTAGGGTTAGAGTTATATAGGGTTAGAGTTAGGGAGTAGGCATAGGCGACTCCCTAGACTCGTTAGTGGAGTAGGCTAGGTACGCTCCGGCATATTAGATATAGTACCAGGGTACGTTCCGGCAGTACCTTGGGGGACATAGACCCTCTCAGCGGCCGTTGGGCCGCGCTAGATACCAGGGCCCTCGCTACCCACTCGCCAATTCGCCAATGGCGAACAAATGAGTAATCTGGCGATTGAAAGTCTTATTTGGCGAA